ATGGTGAACCTCAAGTTTGAATGCAATTTATTAGCAGCCTCGAGGACTACCCCAGGATCGCCCTTGACAGTTCTAACTAGGTCTTCACATTTCTTAGAAAAACTTAATTACCATTCTCAGTCCGATCTGCTTCTTGTTGTTTTTTGCAAGTCATGCAATACCATACTGTTTCAGCGATATCTGCGTATTCGGATTCCGATATGTTACCAAACCCTAAGTGGTACCAAGTCAAACAAGCTTCGCATTCTACCCCTTTAGTTCGATAAGTCACCTTTTTCTGACATCCAGGGTAGACTTCCTTGTTATCCTCATTTAGGACTAAGATTCTTATTTAGCCTAAGACGATAAGCCTAAGCAACCATGTAGCTGTGTCTCGGATCCCCAGATTAGGTGGTTTCAACTACAAAGGGGGCTAAAGTCATAATTTACATTTAATTTTAGTGACAGTTATATATCGTATCCATGAAAATTGTTTGACTCTTCCCGCGCCGTCAGCTGTTGATGCTCTGAAATAATTCATCCACGGATATAAATTCAACTGCTCATGACAATACAGTAATGAAACAAGGTATTGAAAGTTAATTTGATAGGGACTAGGAGCCGGGCATCCGATTCTACGATCGCTGAGAGATAACGTTGTAAAGCTCTTTTTTGGGTTTTAAAGGGTTCGATTTGGTTTCGAAATTGTCACTCTACCTTCTGATTCCACTTGAACTCTGGCATAACGATCGTATCACAAAAACCTATTTTATCATGAGGCTTCTTCTGTATATTCACTAATTTTCTCAGACGACTGACTTTCACGTCGTATCCGGTTGTTGTGTTTCACTTCAAGGCAAATCAAATTGGGCAGTTTTCTTCTATTTCTGAGAAAAAATCACTCTCAAATCAAAAAACCTACACTTTTAAAATACAAGAAATTTCCAACCTCTATCCTGCGTCGATATTGTCATTAAAACATTTATTGACGTTTTCATCGTTTTTCGAAAGGTTCAGCTGTGCCATTCGGGGTAATGGTACAAGTGAGGGGCAATGAGGATCAAAGAAAGTTTTTTGATTTTTTGAATTCACGTGAATGATACTTAACAATCAAATATTTTCGCGACAACTGAAAACCGCGAAAATGAAAAACAGAATTTTCAGTGCCGGAAAACAGACAAGTATCATAGAAAACGGTGAGGAAATACGGTTTACGTCCGATCGATTGCAAAAGAGAAAGTTTTCCGGGAAGTAACGATTGTGCACTACAATCGTTACCGAGCTTATTTTACGAAAAAAAGCTAAGGTTGAGAAAAACAACTATTCCTGATGTTGAAGACCGAGAAGTCGGAAGGGTCTATCGTTGGACTGTAGAAATCTGTTGAATTATCCTTAAGCTCTGAGATATAACCCTGATTTCAATCGTTTCCAGGATATGATGAGCTAGGAATTGGGAAGGGGTCGACCCATCTCCGATGGATGGTGTCTTTTACTCCACCAAACAAAAACAAAAGTAAAACAAGACTGCTCGTATCAGGGCGAAGCCCTGAATGTTCCGACTGCCTTTTAAGGTTTATGGAGCAGCAGTAATAACGTAAAAAAATTAAATGAAATAAAATAAAATGAAAATTTTTTTCTAAAATTTGATTTTTTTTTTTTGAAAATCATCCCCCCACACGCCATATAAAACACAAAAAGATAGATTTCGTTCCTTGTAACAAATCAATTATGGCCAATAAGCTTCGTTCAACCAATTTGGAACGATTTATAAGACGGATTAAATCTCCCCTTACGCGTTAATAGCGCGAATTATATCGCGCGTTAATTGTCCCAGATTGGTCAAAATGGCCAAAATGGCAATCTTTAAACCCTCATAACTTTACGAAAAATGATCACAGGTGAAATATCTTTTCAAATTTAAGCTCAGGACAACAATACTTTTTGAATGATATAAAAAAATTCCGTCAAAAATGGCTAGTTAAAAAGTCGAAATTTGTCTGAAGAAAAAAAAACCCACCCCGAGCACAAATATTCCGTTACTTTCGTATCGAAAGTCGGAACAATTAATAAGTACAAACAGCCTTGCGCTGAGACCCAGCCATGAGTTCCTTATTTCCGCATGTAGCTAGTTATTTGGTACAGTTTGGTCGATAGCTTTTAAATCGTTATAGCTTCGTTGACCCAATCATACGAAATAATAAAAGAATCGGCTTTGGTAGAGACGGTTACAAGCACGCAAGACTCAATCTTGATATTATCCAATTCTTAGAGGATTAAGTTTAATTTTGCTTGTTTTGTCTTTTCCGGGCGACTTTCAAAGAAGGCAACTTAGGCGATAAAACAATTTCAAGGAAATTGTTAAAATTTTTAAGGAAAAAAAACAAAAGAAAACCAAAAAAAAAACAATCAGCGCAAGGTTGATTTTTTTTCGAAATAATAGATAATTTTGATATAAACCTAAAAGAATAATTACTTTTTGAATAAAAGCTGATCTTCACGCTAGTTCCGATTGTTTTTACCGTCAATCATGTGGTGCAAACTTTTGAGTGAATCATTACCGCGATTTCGTACAATGAATAGAAAACCTTAGAAATATATAAAAACTGCTGTGACCGTTATCCATTATTTTTTCTTACTAAAGCACCTAGTGTTACCGGAATCGTTGACATATACAGATAAAGTATCATGAATTTATATCCGACACAAAAATTTTTCTTAATGCTATGTCGTATGATGATCAGAAGAGTTGACCTGCTTATTTGATCAGCCCTGAAACACTCTTTTGTCCAACGTTGTCTAAGCTGTTTATTTCTGCAGGCAGATCACTTTAGAAACGTTACCACCTTAAATGGTAAAATTACATATACAGGTTAAATGTCATGAACATATATCCGGCACAAAAAAATGTTTATGTCGTTTGATAAAAAAAACTGCATGCTTAGTTGACCACCCTTGAATTAGTTTTTTGTCCAATTGTGACAATGCGGTTTATTTTTGCAGGCAGAAATTGTATTTATGCCTGCTCTTCAAAAAATGAACAATATTTTCTTGATAGATCTCCGAAATGTTTAAAACCAAAAGTTTGGATCATAGCAGGGCAAAATGTCACAATTTTTGAGCAGCCATAGATCAAATCATGACAAGCTTCTTGCAACAAAACAAGCATTTAAATTTTAAAAACACTGCACTTATCGTTCCAATAAAAACTTTTACAATTAAACACTTATATCAAAAATTAAATCCAACGGCAAAGAATTAGTTTTTCATAACTTAATTTAATTGACTGCTGCGAAATTTTCAAAAAAAAACTCTTGTTTCCAAGAATGTTGGAAGCAATTGTTTATACATTTCGCAGTTATTTCTTAAAATTCGCACATACCTCAATACTTAAAGTTATAAGCTTAACTGAGATTCTTCAACCAAGAATAAGGAAAAATAATCGACAAAAAAATTGCAAAAATGACGACTGTCTTAGTATCCTTTGTTATTCACAAATTATAAATTTAACGTTTTTTAGTTATTTTCTTTTTCAGTTTAGTCTAGTAGTTTATTGTCCTTCTTTTCTGTAGGCCGCAAAAGCTCTTTAAAACGTGCAGTATTCACCTCGTTTGATCTAAGGCATCTTATTGAACTTATTAAAAAAAAAAAAAAAAACGGTTGTATAATGTTTAGTAAAACTCGAATGTTGCTCGCTTTTTTGTAAGGACACAATTGTAAGCTTAGTCTTATTTAACAATTTTGATAAAACATGACTTGATTTTTGTTCCTATTCTTTTAAAAATGGGCTGGAACTTTGTATGCGGGTGTGTTTCAGTTTTTTGTTTTTTGTTTTTCACACAAAATCATAAAAAAAATTATCAAAAAGAGTTGAGTGGTGCATCATTTTGAAGTTTTGATGATATATTTTAAGGTTTTAAAGTTAAGTGATTTATCATTTTAATATTTTTGATTTTTGTCCGTACCATGAGCGAGCAGGCTTGAATAGTTTATTTTGATAGCTTAAAAGCTTACAATTGCTTAATATAAGTGGCTTAAACTATCCGGACACAACGAAAAAAAAAACCTGAAATTTCAAAATTTTTTTCTCAAATTGGGTTGAAGTTAGGGAAAAAGCGAAGAAAACAAAAGTTGCTCAGAAATTCACCAGAATTGTTATGCTGCAATTTATTTTCTCGAAACTCGCAGCCAAACTTTTTCCCCAAAAATAAGTCAATTTGATTTTTCTTAGTTAATCAAGAATTACGCTTAAATTACCTCTGATACAGGTTTGTGGAGATTTAACCCTTCTAAGAATTTGTAGGGCTGTGTAAGAAGCTTCTTGTGATATAATTTTCATATCATTAACAAAGCAGTTTCAGTGTAATTCTTAATTATTTAAAAAAGCCCATTGGCGAATATTGGAGAAAAAATGCACCATAATAAGTCTGGTGAAATTCTAAGCAATTTTTGTTCTCTTTGCTTTTTCTCTAATTTCTAATCAATTCGAGAAAAAAACCTTTGAAATTTCATTTTTTTTTTGCTTTGTCCGGTTAATTTAAAACAGCACTGTGCTTATATGGCGCTACATCAGAAGATGAAACGTATCAAGTTCGTGCTTAGTATGAAATATCATCAAAAAACTTTTTTCTACCACTGGTTTCCCCACAACCCTCGTCCCCACCAAGATTTCGGTCCCTTGACCACCTAAAGGGTTCCCTTTTTGCATCAATTTGCCATATTATGGTTGATCAACCATCTCTAAAATTTTCCTAAAATCGCTTTTTACTCCCTGGGATCCGATTCCCTGGCCATCCAAAGGGTCTCATTTTTGTATCATTTTTCAAAATCATTGTTGATTGAACATCGCAAGTTTTTCTTTAAGAGGCTTTGGCGTCAAAATACACTTAATCTGAGAGCGCGCCAAAAAGACCACGTCGTAAGTTACTTTTTGGAAGCTTTTGACCAAAAAATTTCATTTTGCCCGTTTTTTCACAAATTTGTCTTAAAATTTGAGTTTATTGCTCAAGTGTGAGTTGGCTTACCTTGCATGTCATAGCAGAGGAGATTTTCACTTCCTAGTCCAGTCACTAACTTGTGGGCCAAACTGATTGGAGCCGAACATTTGAAGTCGTCAAAACTCACCCTCGGATGGCTTTCTTTCCATATTGGGAACCAGTTCAGATTACATTCACAGAGAAACGAGTTGCCAGCCAATGAGATTTCAGTCAAGTCATTCAGTGATTTCAAATTGCTCTCGTAGAAGTTCACGAGTTTATTACCGCGAAGATAAAGTTTCTTCAAACTGTAAAGAGTTCCGAATGCCTTGTCTTCAATACACGAAATAGAATTGTTCGCTAAGTTCAGTTCTTCCAGAGAGCGCAATCCAGAGAAAAAATCTCTTTCGATGTGAGTCAAGAGATTATTAGATAGATCCAGTTTTTTCAGTAAGTAACCATCTGGAAAAATTGAGTTGTCCAGAGTTTGCAACTCATTATGAGCAATCGATAGAAGTTCCAGATTTTTCTGCAGTGCAAAAGTGGAGGGGCCGATAATCACAATTTGGTTGTGGTCGAAATTAACTTGACGCAAGTCGCGATTTGAAATAAAATCAGACGCATGCAACTCGCTCAGTTTGTTGAAGGAAAGATCGAGATAGCGAACAGAGTTCGGGAGGTTCTCGGGAATTTTAGTTAGCTGCCGATTAGAACAATCAATTCTCTGTGCGTATTCGTAACACACACATTCACTCGGGCAAGCTTCGCAAAAATTCTGGGAAATCAAAAGCAAAGATACAACAATCAATTGGAAAAAGGGAGAGAGTAAAAAAGGTTTTCTGAATTTAACAGATTTTGGTATACCTTTAGGTTTATCCATTTTTAAGGTGAATTTCAAAGATTCCTCGGGTTTATCGATTGGAATAAACTTTGTTTCGATAAACTGAAATTGGTTTGAAATATCAGATTTCGGAGCAGAATTGGCGTTTCATTTTAAGCTGGTAAATCTCAATAAGTTTGTGGATAAATCTCGACTAGGTAGAGATAATGATTTGTCAGGATAAATCTAAATAAAAATCCCTTAAATAAATATTTTGAGTGAACAAAGTGAATTCGGGTAGATATGGCAAATTAGGTTATTACAGAGTGGTTGGTATTTTAAGAAAGGTATAATTAAAAGGGGATTTATGCCGACGTGAAATTAAGGAGGGGACTTTAGTTAGTAAAGACCTTTTGTCTCTGTTATTAGATAGCTAATGGGCTCTAAAAGACAGGTTGGGTCGCAAATAACGTATGTTTTGCCATTCGACCAAATGTGTCTGCAATCAAAATATACTTTTACTAGTCTTGACTTTGAAATTAAATAAATTATGTGGAGACTTCTTTCCTGTCCATTCCCCCTTTCCCAGCGCCTATTTTCTCCTCCGGCCGAATGAACAAATTTCCTGCTTCCGCTCAATCAATCAGCTTCGTGAAAAAATTTACTACTTTTAAGCTATTTAACCGATTTTCATCAGAACAGAAAAAAAAGATCAAATAAGCTTGACTAAAGTCAACTTTTAAAAAGTTTGACAAAATTTGAAGAAATAACAAACTCATTAACTAAAACATTGGAAAAAGAAGCGATTGTTTTGATAAAATAGGAAATTAATATGTGCTCAAATCTTCATATTTACCGAGCTTAAATGTTTTGTTTATATACTCATTTCCTGGGGAATGAGGGTAAAAAATAGCACTAAAATGAATCGACCATTAGCACTATCGAACCCGCGTTTCCTTTTTTTCAATATTTTAGCGCCTGTTTTCAAATCTTTTAATTTCAAGACAGTTTTCCATTACGGCTTTTGAAGAATTTAAGGAAACGAATAAATTAGACTTTGTGTCAATTGTGAGCTGCCTAAGCATTGATAAAGTCCATCAGACTGTAACTGTTTAAGCGGATAATCAATTAGATGAGAAACCCGACTCTCGATTAGTTTTTAAATGAGTTGCTAATCTATAAGTAGATGAAATGAATGAAAACAATGAATAAACGTGTCGATTTAAAGTGACGCAAGGAATTTTAATTGAAAATTGGTTGCGCCGTTGCGCGTAAAGTTTTTGGTGACAATTCAATTTGGGCTTATGCTCAAATAATGAAAAATTGATCAAGGTTTTTCGTATACAAAAATGCAGTATTTTTAAAATCTCAAACTCATTAAAGTTTAGCGCAGTTGAAAAAAATATTAGGTTTTGATATGTTCTGTAAAATCGAAGATTTTAAAGTACTCAACCGTTCTAAAATTTTGAATATTTCAACTGCACTAAAATTATCTCGCATAGTTTTGATTAAAACTTTCAACGAAAGATGAATTTTTGAATAAAAAAACGTTTTTAAGGCTTCCTAAACCAGCAATAAGCAATGTCAGGATCAAGTTAACATCCTCCCCCCAAATAGACCAGGTTAAGATCCTCCACCCCAGCGCTTAAATTAAATTAAATTTGCTAAGCGCTGCATGTAAAATGCTCGATTCTGATTGCCTGAAAATTCCCAACTTAGAACCAAGTTTAAATCCTCCCCCTAAACTTGTTTAGGGGGGAGGATGTTGACTTGGTCCCAATGTCATTATAGGAGGAAGCTTTTTTAATACACCCCCTCCGCCCCAAATACCGAATAACCAATCCCCCCTGTAAAGAACAAGTTCAACGGTTATGCATATGTGAACTCTGTAGTAATGACATCTTAGAGTTCGAAAACTGTTTTATCGTAACTTCTAAAAATCTTTTTTTTCGAGAATTTGAGATAAAAGTAGGACTCTCGCGGCAAATGAAAACAATTTCAGAAAACTTGTTGCAAATATCAATCGTTTGCTTATCATTTTGGGTGAAAACTTATTAAAAAATCCACTGAATACTTGAATACTTGAAAACATTACTTGATATTACAAGAAGTTTAATTCCAGGGACACTATAATTTTGGTTAGCATCAAATCTCCTTAAAATTTGTTCAATGAAAAGAAGCATGTAATTTAATTTTGTATTAACTCATTTTTGTGATAAAAGCAAAAAAACGTTCAGTTCTCACTTTTTCAGCGTTGTTTTAGTCTGATTAATTAAATTTTCAGCGGGGTTTTATTTCAATTTTTTTTGTATATTATCCAAAATTGATTTCCTATTATTATCATTTTACTTGGTTTTCGTTTCGTCGTTCATTTTAAAAATCGTCGTTAATTTGTAAAAGAAACATAAAAAATCTTTAAAAAATGTAGCAAATAGTCAGCACTAGCTTGAAAATCAATAAGAACAACAAAATTTACTCAGAAAAAAATTTATGATTAGAATCCAAGTATGATTAACATCTATTTGTATTGTGTTTGATCAATTATGCATTGTGCGTTTTTTTCAAAAACAGTACCCAAAATCAATTTAGCTTCCAAAAAGAAAAAATAAACATCCATTAAAAACCAAAAATGGTGAATTAATACAGAAAAATTATCCGTCACTTATGAAACAATTACAAACTCGAGCATATTTTAACACTTATGACATAATTTTTGACTTCGATAAGCTCTGTTTTTTCGGATCATTAACTCAAACTCCTTGAATATTTAGTGAGTTCAAGTGAAAACTCCACTTAATAATTAAAAGACCCTGGTTTTTATTGTATCGATTTTCGAAGAAAGCGAAGAATTCAAAGGGTTAGGTTTTTTTTTAAACCATTCTTGAACCTGGACCCTTGAATCTCCTTGTTTTTAAGCGGGTGTGCTACGGACTATCCTATATGATCTTTGAGCCCGCGTAAAAAGCTCGTTCTCTATTTGAAAACTTCATTCAAGACGTTGAAACGGAAATACTATTTTTATCCGGCACACAAAATTGTTCTGAATTCAAATCAAGCAAGCTAATTGGTCGAAAATATTCCTTCAACGACTCAATTTTCAACATTTAATATTAAACAATGAGTTTCTATAAATTTTATTCATCATAAAAAAAGAATTCATCCAAAACTACCGGAGACCATTACAGGTCAGTCAAAACATTCAGGGCTTCACCCTGATAAGCAAATAGTCTTGCTTACTTGCACTATAGAGCTGTAGAATTTATTATTTATTTACACTCAATTGTTTTGAATTCTTACTTTCTGGATGTTAGTTATTGCAATTTTAGAAAAAATTTTAAAAAAATAAGGGGGGTTGAGAAATTAGACGATTTTGCAAAGCTGCAATTGCGTCAAATTGCGTGAGAAAAATTAAATTGTTTGCGGACAACAGTTAAATTTCGGTGACCAAAGGTTTTACATGCTAATCATGCATAATTTTTTCAATTCAAAACTCTCCTGTAATATTCGGATTTGAGATTTTATGTTCATTTAAACTAATTGTTTTGATAGGTATTTTTATTTTATGTTCTTTTTGTAATTGTAAAACTTGATGGGTAAGAAAAATTTTTGGTGGACTTTTTTTTTCATAGGAGTGACCTCTAAAATGCCAGATCTGTAAAAAAACAAATTCGTCTTATTTCGTTTTTGTTGCATCCGTCTAATTTGCTTATCATCTAATTTCCTCGGCCCCGAAAAAAAGCTTTGACGCTGAGCAATTGATCTTCGACTCTTCATAGCTGGAAATTACAAGCATTCTTCCTGTTGCTATAAAAAATAGTTTGAGCAATTGTTCTACCGTAAAGTATTAGAAAAAACAAAATCATTTATACGGAACGTCAAAAAACAATAGTTTAATAGTTTGAAATGCACAATAATTGCTTAGATTATTTCAAAAACCATCTTTAAAACTTGTATAATAAGGAATGCTTCACAGACATCTGCTGTGAAAATGACAAAATAAAAACTTAGATTTTAAGAAGATCAACTCGGGTGAGCGCTTAGATAGCATAAAACTCTTGTTTTTTCCAAAAAAAAAACAATCGGATAGAAGTAAACTATATATATGTATATTGAAGTGACTATTGCCGATTGATTCATATACATCCAAGTGAGGACTACTTGAATCCAAAAAACTATGGCCAATAACAATTTGAAATTTATTTCAGACAATAAGCTTGCAAAAGCTTTGGGATGTCAGTTGTTTTAATTTTTTTCTGAAAACTAGTGCTAAGGAGTCAAAACAATTGATAGGAACAAAGCAAAAATCAAACTTTAATAAAAAATACTCATTAATTTTATTGCTAGATAGAAAACACAAAACAAATTACAAAAGATCTATAAATCGAGACAGTTTTCAAAAAATGCCCTCAACTTATGATGCAAAAAATTGTGCTACAGGGAAATTTTATGTTCAAGTAGAATTTTTTTAGTAATGAGCCATCAGCAGAAAGGATAAAAAACCCATCAATTTGGCTGTTTTGGAATCCGCATTAGCTCTTTTTTTCTCTGGTATTAAAAACTAACTCAAAAATCCATTTACAACATGCTTGAATATATACGAACATTCGGCAATAGTCACAGTCAATATATATCGAATTTTTTTTTTTCACAGTCAATATTTATCGAAAAATTTGTCAACAGAAAACTTTTTTCTACAACAGTAAAAATTTTCCCTGCTCTTACACAATAGACTCAGATGAAGCTTAGAGATAATTTTTCTCTTCGTATTGAAAAAAATATTAAAAACTCAATTTAATCGAATAGGTTAATATTAGCAATTAATTCTACAACAAGATTTAGACTTCCGGATCAGACGTTTTTCCAAATTCTGCAGTTTGTTATTTCCTAGATCGAGAGATCCAAATCTTTTTAGAGAACTCATCCGAGACATATCTGTGCCATTTTTTCCCTTCAACGTCAACAAAATATTCTCGTTTATTACAACTGAGTTCTTTAAATTGCTCATCAAACATTGGCCAATTTCTTCTTCTTCGATTGTACTTGGATGAACAAATTTGCGCAGGTTAGCCGTTGGTCTATTCGCTTGCTTTTGCACACGCACAAAACTAGTCGGCTCAATTTTGAAATCAAGCAGATAAGATTTCGGTTTAATTTCAGTCTTCGGGTTTTCAAAATAGTTGCAAGCCTTTTCGGTTTTTCCTATTGAGACATTGGATCCATTTCTAAACATTGACGACATTGACGTA